GAGGAAGCCCCAGGAGGTCCCCAGGAGGCCCCAGGAGGCACCAGGAGGCCCCCGCAACTCGGAGCTCTGAGACGCCGCGCTCGAGGTGGTCCGGCCCGTTTCGCCTGAGACTTCCTCGCAGCACGTTTGCCCGAGAAATCGTCGCAACTCTGGGGTCCGAGATGCCGCGCGCGAGGTGGTCCAGCCCGTTACGCTGGAGACATCCTCGCAACTCTAGGCTCCGAGATGCCGTTCGGGATGAAGAGGAGGTCGAGGAGGAGGAGGAGGAGGAGGAGGAGGAGGAGGAGAAGGAGATGGAAGGGAGAAGGAGGAGGCGGATGATGTGCATGAGGGAGCAAGCAGGAGGAGGGGGGAGGAGGAGGAGGAGGAGGAGGAGGAGGAGGAGGGAGAAGGAAAGGAGTTGCAGGAGAGGACCTAACGGGAAGCGAGTGCGATGTGGACTTGTCAAAACGTGTGCGAAAGATTGTCCGGCCCGTTTCGTTTGAGACATCCTTCCAATACTGAGCTCCAAGATGTCGCTCGCGAGGTGGTCCGGCCCGTTTCGATTGAGCCATCCTCGCAATGCGAGGCTCGAAGATGTTGCGCGCGAGATGGTCTGGCCCATTCTGCCTGAGACGTTTCGTAGCACAGGAGCTCCAATCACAACCTCTCTCATTCCTTCTCCCGCCTCCCTCTTCCCACTTCCCGCCTGGTTCCTCTTCCCTCCTCCCTCCTCCCGCCTCCCCCCTCCGCTGCTGCGCCTCTGCCTCCGCCTCCCCGTCCCCGCCGTCGTCGTTTCTGCCGCCTCAGCATCCGTCATGCGCGCACTGCCTTCCGCCCTCCCCAGACATCCGACGTCACGATTTTTCCCCAAACAGCTTGCTGAACGGGGTGCTGTTGTGATAGAAACTAACTCCGGCCGAGGGAAGGCGGAGCAGAGACATCCTCACACAAATTTTATAGTTTTGGCCGTTTCGCTTGAGACATCCTCACAACTCTCGTTTCTGAGTTGGCCGGGATTGGCCGTTTCGCCTGAGACATCCTCGAAAAGTTGCGCTCCGGGACGCCGCGCGAGAGGTGGTCCAGGCCGTTTCGCTTGAGACATCCTCGAAACTCTGAGCCCCGAGGTGCCGTGCGAGAGGTGGTCCGGGCCGTTTCGCCTGAGACATCTTCGAAACTCTGAGCTCTGCGATGCCTTGCGCGAGGTGGTCCGGCCCGTTTCGCCTGAGACATCCTCGAAACTCTGACTTCGGAGATGCCGCGCGAGAGGTGGTCCGGCCCGTTTCGCCTGAGACATCCTCGAACTTCTGAGCTCTGAGATGCCCTGCGCGAGGTGGTCCGGCCCGTCTCGCCTGAGACATCCTTGCAACTCTGAGCTCTGAGATGCCGTGCGCAAGGTGGTCCGGCCTGTTTCGCACAAGACATTCTCGCAACTCTGAGCTCTCAGATGCTGCGCAAGAGGTGGTCCAGCCTGGGGGCCCAGAAGACCACATGTTACATATCCTCCATGGGACCCTGCGAGCCTCAGGAGGCCCCAGAGAGGTCCAGGAGGCCGCAGGACGCCCAGGACAGGCCCCAGGGGCCCCCAGGAGATTCCCAGGAGGCTCCCAGGAGGCCCCAGGAGGCCCTATCAGAACGTGTCAAGTTAATACACATCCGGTGTCGATTCGTTGATTTTTCCTGCTCTTGTGCCCCCCCCTCCATTTTGAGGGGCCCAAGCGGCCACAGGTTAGATATCCCCCCTGGGAGCCCCAAGAGGCTTCAGGAAACCTCAGGTGGAGTTCAGGAGGCCACAGGAGGCCCAGGAGGAAGCTCCAGGAGGTCCCCAGGAGGCCCCAGGAGGCACCAGGAGGCCGCAGGACGCCCAGGACAGGCCCCAGGGGTCTCCAGGAGATTCCCAGGAGGCTCCCAGGAGGCCCCAGGAGGCCGCCTATCAGAACGTGTCAAGTTAATACACATCCGGTGCCGATTCGTTGATTTTTCCTGCTCTTGTGCCCCCCCCCTCCATTTGGAGAGGCCCAAACGGCCACAGGTTAGATATCCCCCCTGGGAGCCCCAAGAGGCTTCAGGAACCCCCAGGTGGAGTTCACGAGGCCACAGGAGGCCCAGGAGGAAGCTCCAGGAGGTCCCCAGGAGGCCCCAGGAGGCACCAGGAGGCCCCCGCAACTCGGAGCTCTGAGACGCCGCGCTCGAGGTGGTCCGGCCCGTTTCGCCTGAGACTTCCTCGCACCACGTTTCGCCCGAGACATCGTCGCAACTCTGGGGTCCGAGATGCCGCGCGCGAGGTGGTCCAGCCCGTTACGCTGGAGACATCCTCGCAACTCTAGGCTCCGATATGCCGTTCGGGATGAAGAGGAGGTGGAGGAGGAGGAGGAGGAGGAGGAGGAGGAGGAGGAGGAGGAGGAGGAGGAGGAGTTGGAAGGGAGAAGGAGGAGGCGGATGATGTGCATGAGGGAGCAGGCAGGAGGAGGGGGAGGCCCCAGAGAGCTTCAGGAGGCCGCAGGACGCCCAGGACAGGCCCCAAGGGGTCCGCAGGAGATTCCCAGGAGGCTCCCAGGAGGCCCCAGGAGGCCCCCTATCAGAACGTGTCAAGTTAATTCACATCCGGTGTCGATTCGTTGATTTTTCCTGCTCTTGTGGCCCCCCCTGTATTTTGAGGGGCCCAAGCGGCCACAGGTTAGATATCCCCCCTGGGAGCCCCAAGACGCTTCAGGAAACCCCAGGTGGAGTTCACGAGGCCACAGGAGGCCCAGGAGGAAGCCCCAGGAGGTCCCCAGGAGGCCCCAGGAGGCACCAGGAGGCCCCCGCAACTCGGAGCTCTGAGACGCCGCGCTCGAGGTGGTCCGGCCCGTTTCGCCTGAGACTTCCTCGCACCACGTTTCGCCCGAGACATCGTCGCAACTCTGGGGTCCGAGATGCCGCGCGCGAGGTGGTCCAGCCCGTTACGCTGGAGACATCCTCGCAACTCTGGGCTCCGAGATGCCTTTCGGGATGAAGAGGAGGTGGACGAGGAGGAGGAGGAGGAGGAGGAGGAGGAGGAGGAGGAGGAGGAGGCATGTTTTAACATGCCATGCCAGCCCGCACTGGACGGGCACGCAATCGACCTTGGAAACCGCAGTGGGTCTAAAACCCTGTTTGGGGATACTGCACTCCGGCTATAATTCTTTTCTAGCCTGCTTCAGTTCGACGAGCAGTGGCGCAACAACCAAGCACATCCCGCATTACTTCATCGGGGGCTGCGTCACATGGTCAGCCCGCTCTGACAAGACATGCGCTTGCAATATTCAGCTCCTCCCAACACTGACTAAAACTCCTCCCGCGGACTCCGCAACGTGGAGGAACGCGCGTCTTGCTCAAGCAGCTTTGTCCATAGCTAGCTACATGATGCGTAGAATTCTATGCACTATGTCGCAAGTCATGGCGTCGTCTTCGCTCCTTGGCATATGCGCTGAAACGGTCGAAATTGACTTGGCTGATTGCGTCTGCATCGACGGGTCCTGAGTACGGTTCAAGCTCGAGCGCTGCCTCTACCATTCGTGGCACCTGCTCGCGATCCTTTGAGGGTAATGAAATGATGTGGTCATCGCTCTCCTCGAAGCCTACTAAGGAAGTCGGATGATGCGTGAAATGCTTCACCCAACAATCTGGGCCAGTGAACTCTGAATCCGGATGCTTCGTTTTCACAAACATGTTCCACAACTCTGCTTCGGTTATATTTTGGGCCTCGGCGAACTTCTTCATTCGAGCAGCAGAAGACGCCGCATACTCCTCCACACTGACGATCAGCGCCACAAACGTTACTGGTTAGTCCATGCTGGACCGGATGAAACCGCGCACGGCGCGGGAGTACGCTGCGAGACCAACAACGATGGTTGCACCAGGGCTTGTCTTGCGCAACGCTTGTACGCGCTGTATTACACGACCGTGAAATGGCTGCCAATTTTCTTCTGGTCCTGCACCCTTCCCTTCCATTACATGATTGACGAAGTGCTCTTGAAAACCCGCTACGATGCTCTTCAACTGCACGTCGCCCTCATCTGTGTCGGACTGGTAGAGGTGCAACTCCTCGTCACCGTCGACGTGGTGGAACCCGTGATGTATTTCAAGATAATCAGCCATCCACGTCTTCCCAGCCGTCGGGTGGCCATTCATCCACACGAGGGTTCCGGCCATGTCTGCAGAGCCCGTGCCTACTGACGTGTATGCTCTGTGGCCACTGGCAGGGCGCTGAAAACAAACGGCGCGTTGCTGTAGCCCCAAAAAGAGCTTGAGCCAAAATGGCTACGGACTTGGCCGCCCCCGAATTGAGACCGCGCTACTCATCGGGGGGGGCCTGTTGACGCCAGCCGGGACTCCCTGCCTAGGGGGGGCCAAGCTCTCTGCGCAACCCGAAGCCTTGCCAGGTCCCGAGGGAGAGACTTGAGCGCCACCGAAATCAGCAGATCAGCCGTGAAACTGCCGCCTCAGGCCACAGTGAACCAGGTCAGTGCCACAGGAAAAAGACAACGACGGACGGTTTTGATAAATGCTCGGCCTCTCAGGGGCCGAGCATTTATCAAAACCTCAGTGAGGACCCCAGTGAGGACCCCCAGTGGGGGTCCTCACTGGGGCCCCTGGACCGTCAAACAACGGCTCGAGATGAGAATCCGGCCCCAAAGGGTCCAGACCTCCAGGGGCCCATGTGGCGACAAAAAAACCAGACGCCGGAAATGTGGGCCGCCCGAGCGTGGACCTGACCAAAACAGTCGGACTTCATTGGACAGGACACGCGAGAGGACACAAGGCCCCTCCGAGGGCCACATTGCCATAGGAATGCAGGAGGCACGGGTCGCGAGACACAGGACACAAAGGCACCCTTGATTTGGCAGGGTTGACCTACTAATCCGGGCCGATTGTAAGCCGTGCCACTGCCGCCTCAATGCCACAGCGAATCAAGCCAACGAGCTCGGGACCTCCCCGGCATCGCCTGGCGGGACCCGGCCGACCCGATCGGTGACCTGATCCTCTTTCTGATGCCGGTCCTGGCCCAAGAAAAGCTCCAGCTTCCGGGAGCCGTCCTCGCCGCGCGACGCTACCGCCCCCAGCGTCATGCTGCTGTAGGTGTCGCTGATGTTCAGGCTGCCCCCCTTCCATCGCGGCAGGCGAGCGACGGCGGCGACGACGTCGGCAGCAGCGGCCACAACGGCGACAGCGGCGGCGGCAACGGCTGCGGCGGCAACAACGGCGTCGTCGTCGTCGTCGTCGTCGTCGTCGTCGTCGTCGTCGTCGTCGCCAAGCCAAGCCAAGCCAAGCCAAGCCAAGCCCAAACTGCGACGTCGTGTTTTCGTTCGCAGCGTGGGCCCCCGGGAAGCTGGGCCTCTTGGCCCCAGGGCCGGGTGCTTCCCCCCCCCCGCAGTCTCTGGACTGCCCCCGCGAGGGGGGCCCCCTCCTAAAGTGAAGGACCCTCGACGGAGGGCCGAGAACGGCCCAGAGCCGCCCATCGCGATTCTTGACGGGAGGAGGTCTGAGATGGTCGTCGTCCCGACGCCGTCAGCGACGACGTCGTCATCGTCACCGTCGCCTATATAGGAGACGAAAGTAACGGCGCAAACATAAACCTTTGGCGCTCCGCGCGGATTTCCCGGATCTGCGCTGGACCCTTCTCCCTGGCGCGCGGAGCGCGCCAGGGGCGGCGCTGGAGGCGCTGCCGGGGGGGCCCCAGCGCGGACCCAAGAAATCCGCGCGGAGCGCCAAAAAATTATGTTTATGCCGTCACTTCTTTTTTCTACATAAGCGACGGTGACGATGACGGCGTCGTCGCTGACGGCGTCGGGACGACGACCATCTCAGACCTCCTCCCGTCAAGAACCACGACGGGCGGCTCTGGGCCGTTCTCGGCCCTCCGTCGAGGGTCCTTTACTTTAGGAGGGGGCCCCCCGCGGGGGCAGTCAAAAGACTCAGAAGACTGCGTCGTTTGGCAGCGTCTGCGCCGTCGTCCCACGGCGACGACAGCGATGTCGGAGGCCCGGGGCGCCGTGCCAGCGAGCGGCCCCAAGGGGCGCCGCGCCCGCGCTCCGAGGCGTCACCGTCGCCGTCGTCGTCCAGCCGCCGGCGGGCGGCGGCGGCCGACGACGGCGCCATCAGCATCATCGTCCAGCAGCGTCGTCGGCGTCGTCGTCGGCGTCGTCGTCGTCGTCGGCCCGGGCACGTGTGCATCACCTGATGAACAGCCGTGACACGCAGCTGCCATCGACAGGCATCCCAAATGGGTCCAGCCGACCGCCATCCCTGATTCCAGATACGCTATTTTTGGGTCTAGTTTCCTTGTTCGAAATCTGTATGCGACATGCCATAAACGACGTGATAGAGTAAGGCGGACATTTCCACCTCAGAATGGTAGGATCGGATATTTCCACAAAGGTATGGTTGGAATGACGACGGCGAAATGAGGAGGAAATCGACATCACAGGAGCTTGACAAGTAATGCGGAATGTTTCGCCCTACTTGCGAACTCGTCCAGAATACGGCGGATTCAGAACCAGGGATAACAGCCAACGGGCGAGCTACTATCCCCGGAAACGCTGGACACAAACACCGGAACGCGCACACGCGAGCCCCAGAAAGGCCAATCACACGAGCCCCAGAAAGCCCGAGCATCACTCACGGAAGAAAAAGAAACGCCAGCCCTGAAACCCATAATTAACGACCCCCGAAATCACGAAAGCAGGCCTCCTCCTCCTCCTCCTCATCATCATCGTGATCAACCTCATCATCACCAGCAGCATGATCATCGCCTGTGCCACTATCATCATCACCATCAGAATCATCGTCATCATCTCCAACACCCTCATCATCAACATCACCATCATCACGGTCGTCGCCATAATCGCCAACATCATCACCACCAGCATCATCATCTTCATCATCATCAATATTGCATCGTCACTATCATCACCATCACCATCACCATCACCATCATCACCATCACCATCATCACCACCATCATCATCACCATCATCCCATCATCACCATTATCATTATCACAATCACCATCAGCACCCTCACCAGCATCTTCATCACCAGCATCATCATCATCATCATCACCGCTCTTCATCACAACCACCATCAGCAGCAGCATCATCATCACCATCATCGATCTTCATCACAAACACCATCAACAGCATCATCATCACCATCAATGTCAACAGCATCGTCATCGTCATCATTATAATCACAAGCTCATCCGAGATTATCATCATCCTCATCCTCCCCCCCCTCGCCACGCGGCAACGCACGGGGCCAAAACATGATCCTCGCGCAGTACCCGATCATCTGAAAGTGTGAGAACCGCTGATCATGCAGAGCGAAGGAGGGGGGATTCATCTGGGACCACGGAAGGCGTCAGGAGTCTGCCAACATGGGGGTGGGGTGGGGTGGGTGGGTGGGGGGGGGCATGCGAACTGTGCCATCGGGGCCCTCGGTGCTCCCCATGGGGCTACGAAGCGTGTTAGGGGTATGCGGGACTGGGCTGGGGGAGCTGCAAGCGAACTGCGCTGTGTCACTGAGGCGCTCGGTGGAGCTGGATGGCGATGGATGATACATATGATGATATGGCGATGATGGTGGTGATGATCGCGATGGTGATGA